GTGAATTCAATGCAGTTATAACACTTACAATAGGTCTGAGTTTCTCCCCAAAATGTATTCTATGTTAACTTATTTTTGAACAATTATAGAAATGCATTGAAAAGTTTCACAAAATTAAATTCAATAAAATGGATCACTTAATACAAAGTAGATTTTAACTTTCTTCATCTGATCATTTGCATTTCATCATTTCTTTTACCAATTTAATGCAAAAATGTAGTTCTATTTGTCCCATAGATCAACAAAAGACAGTATTTCAGTAATTTATACCATAAAGTATGCAATAAAATCATATTTACAGTAATTAAAGGTTGAATTTGAAAATTTTCAAAACAGTTAATTATGACCTTTTGAACACAGACCACAACAAGCAACCTATCCAGTCATAACACTTTCATCTATAAAAGAGGATAGACAAGTTAAAGTCTCTTGGCAGAGTTTCAGATTGTGTTTGAATGAGAGTAAAAACAGAGCAGCTTCATTTTTTAATTTCAAAAAACATTTTTAACAAATAGCATAATCGGAGACTAACATGCACAAATACATATTTTTAAAAAGCTTAGGAAAAGGCCAGGTATTTAACAGTGTGAATGTTTTTGCATTAGGCCTAAGATACCTGTCCCTTTGGGGGACAACTTCATTCTTTCCATGTTACAAATTAACATAAAAGAAAAAAAAGATACTTCACAGTTAATTTTAACACTGTTATTTGTGGAAATCAATTTCTGACTTAGCTCGAACTCCAGCAGGTATACTAGATACATCTATGTCAAAATAACAAAATAGTTTAGACATGGAGGCTAAAATTTCTAAAAGTAGATGCCAAGAATTATGTTCCAACATTACCTAAACCAGAGACCTAGTTTTCAAAAGTTACATCATTAATAATGGGGATTTCAACTAAACCCATATATATAGGTACATGCACCCTCAGGACAGGATGCAAAGAAAGTTTCTAGACACCATAAATGACTGTTTCTTGCAGCAAATAGTCCTGGAACCCACTACATAATTAAAAGAACCAATGAACATTTTCATAATGTAAACAGTGAGAAACTATTAATAAACAGGAAAAGAAGTATACCAGAACATTTTCTAATTTTCTGTTTCTACAGAAAAATTACTGGGGAGCTCTGTAACTCATTAGGATAATAAGAACTACCATACTGAATCTGGCCCATGGTTTATTTAATCTAGTGCTCTTTGCCCTAGAGCGCAAAAAGGAGGGTGTCAGTGGCATGTTCAGCACATTGGTTACCTCATGACAGAACTTTTCCATAGAAAGTTGTGGGATATGATTGTTCCCGGTTTGCTGATCATGCCACTAACACCCTCCTTCTTGCTCTCTGGGGCCCCCCATCACCTGTCCTGCTGGGCCAGATTCTCTGGTTTCCCCCAAACAAGGCATAGTTTTTGGACAGCCACTTTATATTTCTAACTTTTCATACAAAATGCACCAAAGTAAGATACACAGAGCCAGAAGACTAACAAAATTGATAGGTTACATGGCATATTTTGTTTAAAGCATCTTTGAGTTATGCATATTTATATTCATAAGCCAAACTTCATAAAGTGGGGAGGTAACTGTCACAATTTCTACTGCACAAGGGATAGGAAATTCCAAGAGGATGAATTGCATTGAACTATTGCCACTAATAAGTGGAACCCAAGTTTCTTATATGCTATTGTACCACAATTGTTGCATCTTAATGGTTAACTAACAGTGTTTGTTTGATAAGAGAAGAACATTTTACTCCTATTAATAATCATCTGAAGTATCCTATAATTCAACTACCATCTGCCTTCTGTCAAAATCCATACATTAAGTAGGAAAGGTGCTACCTCTTGCAAGGAATTAATGTTTTAAAGTTTAAGAATAACTAATTCCTCTGTTTAGGAATTGGAATTAAACACTCACCTAATTATCAACATCTTAACTTTATAGAAGTGGGTACTATTGATCCTTTTTATTCCTACAGCAGTTTAACACAATACAGTATAATGAATTTCTCAGCTTAATAAACTATACTACCATTTTCTGATTGTATTATCTGATAATTGTTATAAGTTTACGATACTAGACTCACTTTTTCCACATATACTCAAAGTTATTAAATATAATATTTAAGTACTTTGAGCCTTGTATGCATAGATTAAAAAGAGAAGGATATTCTATATTATTCACTGCATCACTTTTTATATAAATTAATCAAGGGATTTAAATAATTCAATTTAATATTTATCTAAAAACTGGCAGACAGTATTCCACCCAGAGAGACCTAATTCTTCATGACAAGTTCACTTTATGAGACAATAGTAGTTCTGGCATTACCAGAACCTCTCACATAAACCATTCTGGAAACTAGAGCATAGTCTGCCAAATGCCTTCCTTACATATGGTGTTTAACAGTGCTGTGTATGTCTCTAAGCTAGTAACAACAGATTTAAACTAAAATTTGGAGTCTTACACATACATGTAACTCAAAATTTTAAAATATATTATGTAATACACACACACACACACACACAGACTTAAAATTCATCTTTAAACTAACATCCTAAATGTAATATTTGCAAAAAAATTATTTTTCAATTTGCAGTATATTCCCTGCACCTATTGATATTTATGGCACAGGTTCAATTAATTTGAATAGCTCAAGATGAGACCATGAGAGTCCAACATAAGACTTACATTTAAAGAGATTCAGTTAAGTTATAAAACCATATATCAGATAAATATTTCCTTGTAAACTATACAACCCAGACTTTCAAAGATGTGCTCATGAATGTGAACCTGAAAGTGACATTGACAAGACATTTAAAATCACCCCCTTCTTTAAAATTAATCTAAAAGTGTTTCATAGAATCACAGAGCTGCAAGAGACCTCAAGAGGTCATCGTGTCCAGCCCCCTACCCAAAGCAGGACCAACCCCAACTAAATCATCCCAACAAGGGCTTTATCAAGCTGGGACTTTAAAACCTCTAGGGATGGAGAGTCCACCACCTCCTTAAGTAAACCATTCCAATGCTTCACCACCCTCCTAGTGAAATAGGTTTTTTTCCCTAATATCCAACCTACACCTCCCCCACTGTAACATGAGACCATTGCTCCTTGTTCTGCCATTTTCCACTATTGAGAACAGCCTCTCTCCATCCTCTTTGGAACCTCCCTTCAAGAAGTTGAAGGCTGCTATCAAATCCCCCCTTACTCTTCTGCAGACTAAATAAGCCCAAAGCCCTCAGCCTCTCCTCATGCTCCAGCCCACTAATCATTCTGGTTGCCCTCCACTGGACCCTCTTCAAGGCATCCACATCCTTCCTGTAGTGGGGGGCCCAGAACTGGGCACAATATTCCAGTTGTGGCTTCATCAGTGCCGAATAAAGGGGAACAATAACATCTCTAAGATCTGCTGGAAATGCTCCTCCTACTGCACCCTAATATGCCATTCACCTTCTTGGCTACAAGGGCACACTGTTGACTCATATCCAGCTTCTCATCCACTGTACTCTCCAGGTTTTCTGCAGAACTGCTACTTAGCTATTTGGTGCCCAGTCTGTACCAATGCTTGGGATTCTTCTGTCCCAAGTGCAGGGCTCTGCACTTGGCCTTACTGAACCTCATCAGATTTCTTTTGGCTCAATCCTCCAATTTGTCTAGATCACTCTGGACCTTACCCCTGCCCTCCAACATATCTACCTCCCTCCCCCCTCCAGCTTAGTCTCATAGACAAACTTACTGAGGGTGCAAACCATCCCCTCATCCAGGCCATTAATAAAGATACTGAACAAATCTGGCCCTAGAACTGATCCTTGGGGCACTCCACTTGAAACCAACCACCATCCAGACACTGATCCATTGATCACTACCCGTTGGGCCCGACAATCTAGACAGCTTTCTATCCACCTTAATCTCCATTTATCCAATACATACTTCCTTAACTTACTGGCATAATATTGTGGGAGACCATATCAAAAGCTTTGCTGAAGTCAAGGTATATCACATCCACTGACTTCCCCGTGTCCACAGAGCCAGTTACCTCATCATAGAAGCTAATCAGATTGGTCAGGTGAATCCATGTTGACTATTCCTGATCACTTTCCCCTCTTCCAAGTGATTCAAAATGCATTCTTTGAGGATCCCCTCCATAGGGTCTGAGGTAAGGCTGACTGATCTGTAGTTCCCTGGATTGTCCTTCTTTCCTTTTTCAAAGATGGGCACTACATTTGCTTTTTTCAAATCATCCAAGATCTCTCCCAATCTCCGTGAGTTTTCCAAGATAATGGCCAAAGGCTCTGCAGCGATATTTGCCTACTCCCTCCGTATTCTCGGATGCACTAAACCCACACCCATGGATTTGTGTATGTCTAGCTTTTCTAAATAATTCTAACCAGTTCTTTCTCCACCAAGGGCTGCCTACCTCCTTCCCATGCTGCATTGCCAAGTGCAAAAGTCTGGGAGCTAACCTTCTTTTAAGCCATTTGAAAGAATACAAGTCAAATATGTAGGGAGGATGTGGAAAATTAGAAGTTGGGTTTTTTTTAGAAGATGTTAGATAAATACCTACTATGGCTCTGACAATACTTTTTAAGAGCAGATTAGACAAATACAAGGCTGGTTCAGATAATACTTAATCCTGACATGAGTCCAGGAGACTGGACTAAATGACCTCTTGAAGGCCATTCCAGTCTGATGATTCTACATACTTACACACTAACAGATTTCAGCAAAACCTTTTCCCTGATATAAAGGCCACTGAAGACAGTGAGAAAATTTTCATTGACTTCTGTGGACTTGGGATGAAGTCTCTTATTCACATGAATAATCCCATTGACTTCATTGAATAATCTCATTTAAGTCAATGCAACAATTCACATTAGTACATTAAATAGTATTTAGAACAAATCTCTGAAAATCAAGATAGAATTTATATTTTCTGCAGATGTACAGTAATATAATAATGTTTGCATACTGTCTGTTCAGTAACATGAGGGAGCTTACCACTTTCAAAACAGGCATCAAATATAAGATGTCCTTTTTTTGGCTGTCCATAGTAACCAGCTGGGAGAACGGCATATTTGCTTACATTCCCTGCTATGATATCATCACTTCCTAGTTCGCTACCTGTTACAATAAAACATGAAGATAAATACATGAGTATTAAACAGAAAACAAATCTATCAAAAAAAAAAAGACTGAGGGATTTCTCTTCTCTCTCCCCTACCCCCATGCTTTTGTATTTTCATTAATTGTGCATATTCCTTCATATACATAACTTTCTTTTTAGAGTATATTCCACCAAAATATTTATCTTGATTATGTTTATTAAAATTTCAAATTTTAACAGGCCCAGCCAAAAAGTATATGTAAATTTCTGCTCTCATAAAATGACCCAAAGAACTCTCCTTAAGAAACCAGAATTTCAAGCAATATACTTTAACAAAGGTCATTGTGAAATGTTCTGAGTGCTGTGATACATCAGTCCCCTCTGAAGTTTGGTAATGTATAGGTATACTGCACACTTAAGTGCAGAAAAATACATGAATGCAATGTTAATATCCAAAATGAACATAAGTAAATCACACTGGTGTTAAATTTATATACTGTGACAAAGCTCCTATCTAAACTCAGTGGATCCTGCGCTTCCAGGCAGATTTGCTTGCCTCAGAGCAACCCTCAGTTTTAGGCACCACACCTAGGAAGTTAGTTTGCTGTTTGTTTAGCTCTTTTCATCATTGACTAGGGAATGATATAAGGGGAGACTAAATTCCACAGTCTTTTCCCCCAGTGGAAATGGGGAAGTAGGTGTTGGGGGGAATCCAGGCCTACCCTCTACTCCAGATTCCAGCCCAGGACCCTGTCATAGCTGCTACCAATGTTGCCAACACCTGTTCCAAGACTCCTGGGCTACTCCCCAACAACTTTCCCAGAACCTTCCTCCGTTTATAGCCAGTCTCAACTTTTTTTTTTTTTAATTAACCCCATGTGTCCTACTCAGCCCAGGCTGGCTTGACTCTTCAGGCCTGGCCAAGCCTCCCAGCTGTTCAACTGCCTCTGATTGCTTCTCCTGGTTCTAGACCAACCTCTTACCCAGCGAGGAGAGATGCTTCAGTGTGAGGCTTATATACCTCCCAGCCCCCTCCACTACTTTTTTGTAACCTTTCAATCTGATCCTGTCACAATACATAATCCCACAAACAATAAATTAGTACATTTACATTTATAATCAGTATGAGTTTAAAAATATGTATGGTATATCTGAAACCTGCCTCTTGGATCAAGGGTACAAGCTCTGGGATCCATGCAGAGGAGACTGTTGAGTCCATACAACTAAAGGTAATAGCTGGATTGCTGTTAACTGATATTGAAGGTCCTGGATAATAGAGTCCATTGGTCTTATCTGCAAGTTATTGCAATGTTAGAGGGAACTGAAGAACAATGCATGATGCCCTCTTTGTTTTGAGAGTTCCCTGGACTTGGAGGCTACGTCTATACTGGCATGATTTTCCGCAAATGCTTTTAACAGAAAAGTTTTTCCGTTAAAAGCATTTGCGGAAAAGAGTGTCTAGATTGGCACGGACGCTTTTCCGCAAATCTAGACGCGATTTTGCGCAAGAAAGCCCCGATGGCCATTTTTGCCATCGGGGCTTTTTTGCACAAAACAATACCGCGTTGTCTACACTGGCCCGCTTGCGCAAAAGCATTTGCGCAAGAGGGCTTTTGCCTGAACGGGAGCAGCATAGAATTTCCGCAAGAACACTGACAATCTTACATGAGATCGTCAGTGTTCTTGCAGAAATTCAAGTGGTCAGTGTAGACAGCTGACAAGTTTTTCCGCAAAAGCAAATGCTTTTGTGGAAAAACTTGCCAGTCTAGACGCAGCCTGAGACACTTTACTTTGGAAACTGAAAGGACCGCTCAAGCTCTAATAGTCAGCTTTCCTAATGATGACAGATTTCAACTCATAATAGTAAATCTGATGTAATATCAGGACAAAATAAAATCAATCCTGTGCTAATCCTGTAGGGGCTGGAAAGGCATGTTTTAGGGAGCTGATACCTCTTTTTCTCCTGATGTCTGCTTGGAAACACAAAACAAGTGGAAGCACTTGCTCCAATTAGAAGTATACTTTGCAGTGAAAATATTAAATCTGTTTTCTGGTACCTTGCCAGACTGAAAGTATAGGATGGCTTCGAGCCTCAGACGTATAATGATCCAGACAGACCAGATTGATTGCCAATGGATGTTGAAATGTTACAAAATGCATACCAGATTTTGACACCTTCTGATGCATGTACAATTGAATATTGTTCAAAGTTTCTATATATTATTTAAGCAACTCTTTTTAAGTGCCCCTTCTTTATTAACTATAGTTAACATCAGTTATCTGTATCAATGTGATGAAGAAAACTACTGCTTGTGAGAGTAATTGAGAAAGGCACCAGAAAATAATTTATTATAATTGGTTATTTCTAAGCTTCTGTACTGAATTTCTGATTATACCTAAATATTTGTCAATGTAGCATCTGTACAAATTATAGCATCTTACTCTTACACAAGTTTATTTGTTTGGCTTTGGAACTAAAATCATTGACAACTTATCAAGGATCAAATGCTTCTCTTTCCTTTCTTCCATCCTTCTTTCACCCCCTAAAATAGCAGTAATGAAACAGAAGCTATGATTCCTTGTAACTAGTTTGTCACCTTTCCTATCAGGGAATTTCCTCCTTCTCTAAGAAGACACTTCTTGATTTTGTTTGGTTTTTTGGGACTGATGTTACATATCCCTTCTTACATTGTTCCCACTGCCTTGATGGACACTTTGAACTCTTATTATTATGTATTGGGGGAAACAGTTGCCAGAGCTCTTAAGGCAAACCGGTTTCCTAAGCATATTTGATTTTGGATTTGGCTTTGAATTACATATACTTCATCTGTAGTTAAGCTTTTTATATGCCAGCTATATTAAATATCTGGTTAAGAAAGGTATTGATGATATTGTAAAGTCCTCTTTGTTTCCATATACACAGGATTTTCCCCTAAATCTTATTTAGAACATAAGAACAGCCATACTGGGTCAGATGAAAGGCCCATCCAGCCCAGTTATCTGTCTGCTGACAGTGGCCAATGACAGTGTCCCAGAGGGAATGAATCAAACAGGTAATGATCAAGCACTCTCTCTCCTGCCATCCATCTCCACCCTTTGACAGAGGCTAGGGACACCGTTCCTTACCCATATGGACTAATAGCCATTAATGGACTTAGCCTCCATGAATTTATCTAGTTCTCTTTTAAACCCTGTTATAGTCCTAGCCTTCACAACCTCCTCAGGCAAGGAGTTCCACAGATTGGCTACGCGCTGTGTGAAGAAGAACTTCCTTTTATTTGTTTTAAACCTGCTGCCCATTAATTTCATTTGGTGGCCCCTAGTTCTTATATTATGGAAACAAGTAAATAGCTTTTCCTTATTTACTTTCTCCACACCACTCATGATTTTATAGACCTCTATCATATCCCCCCTTAGTCTCATCTTTTCCAAGCTGAAAAGTCCCAGTCTCTTTAATCTCTCCTCATATGGGACCTGTTACAAACCCCTAATCATTTTAGTTGCTCTTCTCTGAACCTTTTCTAATGCCAGTATATCTTTTCTGAGATGAAGAGACCACATCTGTATGCAGTATTCAAGATGTGGGCATACCATGGGTTTATATAAGGGCAATAAGACATTCTCCGTCTTATTCTCTATCCCTTTTTTAATGATTCCTAACATCCTGTTTGCTTTTTTGACTGCCGCTGTACACTGCATGGACATCTTCAGAGAACTATCCACAATGACTCCAAGATCTCTTTCCTGATTGGTTGTAGCTAAATTAGTCCCCATCATATTATATGTATAGTTGGGGTTATTTTTTTCCAATGTGCATTACAGCCGCTCCCCGAGTTGCAAACGGTTGAGTTAAGACCGTTCGCAATTACGACCAAAGCTCCCATGAAGCGGTCGTAAAGGCGGTCCCAGAGTTACAAACGCGACCTGCACTTACGAACAGCATGGCTGCGTGTAACTCAATGGGGTCCGAGTTACGAACAGATCGAGTTACGGCCAAGTGTTTGGTCCGTAACTCGTTCGTAACTCAGAGAGAGGCTGTACTTTACATTTATCCATATTAAATTTCATTTGCCATTTTATTGCTCAATCACTTAGTTTTATGAGATCTTTTTGAAGTTCTTCACAGTCTGCTTTGGTCTTAACTGTCTTGAGCAGTTTAGTATAGTCTGCAAACTTTACCACCTTACTGTTTACCCCTTTCCCATTTATGAATAAGTTGAATAGGATTGGTCTTAAGACTGACCCCTGGGGAACACCACTAGTTACACCTCTCCATTCTGAAAATTTACCATTTTTTCCTACCCTTTGTCTCCTGTCTTTTAACCAGTTCTCAGTCCATGAAAGGATTTTCCCTCTTATCCCATGACAACTTAATTTATGTAAGAGCCTTTAGTGAGGGACCTAGTCAAAGGCTTTCTGGAAATCTAAGTACACTATATCTACTGGATCCCCCTTGTCCACATGTTAGTTGACCCCTTCAAAGAACTCTAATAGATTAATAAGACATGATTTCCCTTTACAGAAACCATGTTGACTTTTGCCAAACAAATTATGTTCTTCTATGTGTTTGACAATTTTAACCTTTACTATTGTTTCAGCTAATTTGCCCAGTACTGATGTTAGACTTAACGGTCTGTAATTGCCGGAATCGCCTCTAGAGCCCTTTTAAAATATTGGTGTTACATTAGCTATCTTCCAGTCGCTGGGCACGGAAGCTGATTTAAAGGATAGGTTACAAACCATAGTTAATAGTTCCACAATTTCACATTTGAGTTCTTTCAGAACTCCTGTGTGAATGCCATCTGGTCCCAGTGACTTTTTACTGTTAAGTTTATCAATTAATTCCAAAACCTCCTCTAATGACACTTCAATTTGTGACAAGTCCCCAGATCTGTCACTTACAAAGGACGGGTCAGGTTTGGGAATCTCCCTAACATCCTCAGCCGTGAAGACTGAAGCAAAGAATTCATTTAGTTTCTCTGCAATGACTTTATAATCTTTAAGTGTTCCTTTTGTA